AAGTTGGTGGCTCTAATCCCATACGCGTATACATGACAAACCTCCAAACAAACAGACAAAACTCAAATCCTAAATCATTTGTGTAAACACAAATTTTAAAAGTTAGTATTGTACTGTGATATACTTTTACATTTATTTTATATATATTATTAGAATAAAATATCATAAAAATATAAATTTTTGTATTTTTTAAATAAAAAATAAGAAAGATAGTGTCAAATAAATTTAAAAAATTTAGGTTTGTTAAAGAATATTTTTTTGTATTTTAAATAGACAAACGGATATTTATTTATTACATGATTAAATATTAAAACATGGTTTACTTAGATTTCCTTCTATTTATTGCATAGGATCTCAGCATACTAACTTGTGGCATGACCCTTGTGGGTTCATTTCTTTGAGAGCATTCACTTTCTGCACCAGCTAGTATATGTAGGCAAAGGGAGACAATAGTGATGCATAGTATATGTTTGTGTGTATGTGTGAAAGAGAGGGAGAGAGAAAACTTACGTCATTGACAGTGGAAGAGTGCATATATATAGTAGGATCTAAAGGGTTGGGAAAATTTGTAATAAAAGATTATTATGGGGAAAGGAAGAGCACCATGTTGTGATAAGACTAAAGTGAAGAGAGGTCCTTGGAACCCTGCAGAAGATCTTAAACTCATAGCCTTCATCCAGAAATATGGCCATGAAAACTGGCGAGCTCTCCCAAAACAAGCTGGTAATTACATTTCTTATTAAATGTGTGTATGCCTGTGATATGTTTGTTTGATTATGGATGTGTATGCGTATACGTGTGTTCATGTCTGTCTTTGATTATAGAATGCTGTCTTGGTAATTTTTGGTAAACTTTAATAAGAAACATTAGTTTCAAGTTTCAAGTTTCAACCTCTCTTTTGTGTTTGATCTCGTTCACTTTAGTGAACTATAGGAATGACAATTTTGTAATCTTTCAGTACGAAATTTCAGTGCATGATCATGGAAATTTTGCATTTGCATTATTGCTTCTGTGGAAACCTGTAATTTGTGATAAATCCAGTTTCTGCGTTTGCATTGTTTCATCCACTGTTTGTCTCATTCAAGGGCAATTCTCTGCTACCTACTGCTGATAGGAAAAATAATAGTTTGGCAGAATTTGGTGACTTTTGGTTTTCCTCATGTTGGTAAAGATAGTTTGAAGCATTGCTCGCTTATCACATCTATAATTGTGGGCCCTCCTTCTGCCTATAATTTCAATGAAAATATGACACATTTTAAATGACTAATTTCTGATTATGCATGTCCACCTACCATTAATATGGCCCGTCCATCACCATGATTGTCTGCTATAAATGGAAAATTACCATTATTATTGCACAAGGAGACTCTGCCATAAGGCTAATGGATTCCTTCATCACAGAAAAAAGAAATTATTTCAAGTAAGGGCACTGCGTTTCAAATTTGATGTTTCTTGCTGTGGATTATGACTAGTTTCCTGCATTCCTTAAAGTAGGCAAACTGTTGTTTCATGCTGTTCGGGTGTTTTGGTCTCTATAATTATTTCTGTCTATTCATTGGTTTCAATTAGTCTAAAATAGGAGAGGCAAAACAAAAGTGTGATTAAATTAAAAGTGGACTAATGGGCATGAGGAATCACAAGCCTAGAAATTGTAAAATTTACGAAGAAAATAAAAAAGTATTACTGTCTTATTCTACATATATTCACCTTGTACAAGAGTATTGGTGGTTGGAAGTTCTGAGTATACTAAAGCAATTTTCATGCCTTCTAAAGCATGATGCTAGCTATAGAGTATTGGTGTTTGGAAGTACTGATATTTGATTCTGTTAATACTGGTATAGATGTTATCAAAATTTTCTTATACTTATTTTTTGCATTTTAATAAGGGCTTCTGAGATGTGGAAAAAGTTGTCGTTTGAGATGGATTAATTATCTAAGACCTGATGTGAAGAGAGGAAATTTTACACCAGAGGAAGAGGAAACCATCATAAGACTTCACAGGGCCATGGGAAACAAGTATGTCTCTTATGTCTCAAACCAGAAACAAGTTTTCTTGTAATGTTACTTTTTTCTTTCGTTTACTGATTTGTGGCATTACTAGATTATCTAACTATCTTTTCTAATGGGTTTCAGGTGGTCAAAGATTGCATCACGTTTGCCTGGTAGGACAGACAATGAGATCAAGAATGTCTGGAACACCCACTTAAAGAAAAGGTTGTCTCCTAAAAAAACTTCAGAATCAAGTACAGATGAATCCAAGCCAGAATCAACAATAACTTCCACCTCTTCCTCTTCCTCTCAGTCCTTTTTCTCAACTGAGAGGCCAAATTCACCCAAGAGCACTACACCTTATACTAATGAATTTTGTGACCAAGCAGAGCAATTATCAATGGAAGATAAAATTGAGCAGGATTCAGAAAAAGCAGTGTCAAGTGAACTACTAATTGGCATGACTGAGGATCCAAAAGAGTCATCGGCTTCATTTTCTTGTGAGTCAAATATTGTAAACTCGAGCCAGAATGTTGCACAGAAACCTGAAGAGACATTGGCTTCGCCCTTATCTGTATCAATATATACTATTGAGACAATTAATATTGTAAATTCAGGCCAGAAAGTTGCACACAAACCAGAACAACAATTGGCTTCTCCATCATCCTACCTAGGACCTTATGATGTCGGCCATATTTTAGAAATTCCATGGGAACCAGATTATGAGTTTTGGAAGTTGTTAGATGATGATAGCCCTGGATCTTTTCAATCAAAGGAAGTCCAATTAGGTGAGTTCTCAGCCAACCAAAACATGATTCTTGGAGAAGAGGGTG